ATCCTTCATTGATTCCATGATCTTGGAATTTCTTGTATTCGTATTCCTTTCAATCTTTTCTAACAGATCTATACTTTTCAAAGGAAGAAGTACTTCCTTCACATCTGGCAGCAACAGAGCAGATTCCAATTCATCAAGTTGCAAATCAGGTCCAACTGTTATTTCCTGTTTTTGGATCTTGTCTTTGGGTTTCATTCAAAGCCCTTGTTGACCCATCAGACTTTTGCCTATGGAGATTCTCAGCTATCCAGGTCACGGTTGTCCCAAAGATGTATTTTTCCCCGAAAGGCAGCTGGACTTCATTTTTCCTTGAAGATGTTTCGCTTCTCATCCAAGAAGCCATCAGATTTTTAGTTATATTTCCAAATATAGCCTGTAAGTTGGAGAGTAGCCTTTTTTCAAATGTTTCCCAGATTTTGTTTTGTTTTGTTTTAATTCACATTTTTAATGCTTTTGCCTAGTTTTGTCTTAGCCTTGTTAATTTTTTTCTTTAGATTTTGTAATTTTAATCTTGTGAATTTAAAAAAAAAATATTTAAAAGAAATTTCAAATGAGATTGCCCATGATGTCTTGGAAGAAGAGAGAGAAACCTTTCTGCCAATCAAGGGGAAAACTTCCCCTTGTAATACTAACATATTTCTTATTGCCTACAAGCACCTGATTCTGCAATTTTACTCAGCACAACCACACAAACTGAGTCATACAAAACACCTTGTGGCCTTTTATCAGCATCCTTCTGTTGCCTAAACAAAGTTTAAAAATGTACCAAAGAATGTCCCCAATTTGCAACATTCACAGAAACCCCAGATTTTCATTGGGAGACATGGCTTGGGGATTATGGACTACCACAATTTTCTTGACTCAAATGATAAATCTTCCTTCTTATAATCATTATATATTCCAGGCATTTTGAAAAATCCTTTTCTTAGAAATGCACATAAATTTAAATCCCCAAGGTCTTCTTCTGAGGTTATTAATCTGGGTGACTACTTGCAATAAGTAACCAAAAGAAAAAGAAAAAGAAAAAAGGTTCTGAATCCTCCTGTCTTAGGGGCATTACAAGTCAATTTAACTGTCTAAATGAGCTATACCTGGAATTAAAACTTCTACGCATTCTGCTCCACCGTTAAAACGCTGCAGCTTTAAGATAAACCTCCAGCAGGCAAATTTTACCTTCCCTGCCAGTTCATAACATACACTTGGCTGTTTGTGTAAGCTTCAGTGCATGCGAAAATAGGAAGGGATTCAACAAATTAAAATGTTTAGTAAACAAAGTTGTCCAAAGGGAAATCATTAGCAAAAGCAGATTCTCTGAAGATGCTCACTGGGAAGTAAAATTGCTTCATTACATAAACTACTAGACACAATGAAAATTGAGTCCAACACCTGTTTAGGATAGGAAAGAGCCGCTTCCTTCCCTCCTCCAGCCCAGCCCCCTGCAGTCCCTAGAAAAACCCTGGGCTGCTTGTTCACAATGCACACGAAATCGGCTTTTAATTCTTGCATGTCGTATCTGGCTGCATGTAAACGGAACACCCACGAGGAAGGCCTGGGGAGCTCAACATGTTGAACTCTGACAAAGGAACGTGATTCATTCCTCCCAGATAGACTCGATTTGAACATTTGAACATATGGAAAGTTTACACCACACCCAGGGAGTTCTCATATTGTTAAAAAAACCCCACCACATTATCTGTCAGTATGTGTTTTGTGAGAAGATGCACCAGCTCAACCATCTGGATGATGAATGATGTTGACAGGTTGTGAGAAGGTTAAAGTAGGGTCAGATGAGCTAATACTTAAATTGGAGACCTCCAGGAAATTCCGGAGCTGCAGGCCAGATGGGCAAGTCAAAATAAATCTCCAAATTGGGTGATGGAAAACCATTTCTGAACTGTGAAGTTACATATAGATCCAACACTTCCGTGTCATAAGCAGGAGTCAAAGTCAATGGTAAAAAGCTTTTTTTCTTTACCTTTACATCAAGAGAACGGGTCCCTAGAAACAACCCTTGCGTGTCTATGCTTGACCTAAAAGCAGGGTGGAATGGAGACAGGTAAAATTGATGTGGCTTGAAAACAAACTAAATATTGGGGAGGGGGGAATCTTATTCTAGAAGCAGCTCATGTACATTTTGTGTGTGTATATGGGAAGTGCAGAGAGAGGGACAGGGGGCAGCAAACAAACATAAATGTAAACCACTTTTAAAAATATAGGTCAATATTAGAATCCTGCAACATTTAAAACCCCTTTTCCCTATGTACTCACATATTCTCTTTCCCTCATTTCTTCCCAAGGTGTACTGCTTCACAAATTCATAGTCAGCAGTGCAATGGTGCATAATTCTGCATCATTACACAGCCTGACAGACAGATGCTTGTACATCCCACGCTAATGGCATCCCAGTCAAAATAACAGCACCAGAGCTTTCTTCCTGAAAAGATTAACTCCGTCAGGGAGTTTCTAGCAATTTGTTTTGCAGAAATCCAGTTCTTTTTAGTGACCATTTCCAGGAAAAGTGTGTGTGCTTTGCTCCATGATGAAGTTTCTTCTTACTAAGGCTAGCAGGGCTGAGTACAAAACTCTGAACAACCACTAGATGTCAGCAGAAGCAAAAACCCTATAAAATTCTAGCTCTTCATATGCCATCTAGTGACCATCAAATTTTTGCAGCCCAGCTTTCTCTGTGCATAAAAATATTGAGTGAGACCATGTCACGACGGAGAACGAGGTAGTATCCATCCTGCATAAATGAGGAGGTAGAGATGCTGAATCAGAAGTTGCTATGGCGATGGATTAAATGGAAGTCAATAAAGTGAATATCCATCCAAATAAGAAAGGGCTCTTAGTGAGAAGAGGATTTAATATTCCTCTTGAGAAGGTTTTCTAGTATTGCCTTACTTGGATACAATTTGCAACCTTATTTGACCACAAAACCTGAACAAGATATTTAGATCTGTGTGATAGCCAGGTGGGAATACACCAGGGTTGGGTTCTACTTACCTTTACTACCATTTCGCATCGTGCCTGCGTGCGCGCAGATGAACAGATTGCCTATGATGACATCCAGGTCAGTGGGCGGAGCCTCCCGCCGGTTTTACTACCAGTTCTTGCGAACCGGTCCGAACCGGGGACCACCCACCACTGGAATACACACCTTCAGACTTGTGGGATCAATTAGGCTGCAAGATCCTCTTTGTTGTGTATGCATTTGATAAATAAGTGCATTTTCAAAGTAGAACTGCTGGTGCTGTTTGGGTGGCTGATAGTCCTTCAATCTCACACTGATTACATATCAATAGCAAACTTCTAGAGAACGTCTAGAGAAAGTCAGGCTTGTTTTTCAGAGCTTTCTCTTATCTCTGAGCAAGCATTATGCACAGAAAATGGGGAAGATCTTTCTTCCATCCAAGCACGGAATATGATATTTATTTGTAAAACAGGCAGAATCCAAATTATACCTTATATAGATTGAAACTTCTCTTTCAGACTAAAGCAGGTCACTTATAAAGCTTGATTGGGACAGAAACTATACTACAAACGGATTGAAATAATTCCACACTGCCCGGAAAGATCACATTTCATAAACACACAATAATTTGGTTATTTCTCCCTAGCAAGTCTAAAATCTCTCCCTAAAGATGGAGAAAATATGCTAATAGGACTTAAAAAAAGAAAATAAATCTGATTACTAAAATTTGGGATATGAATTTTCATCTCACAAGAGAGAGCTGTAAGAAGATGTGAGACAACAGAATATTGAACTGTGAATAATACATTTTCTATATTCTATTTGACAAATATTTCTCATGTTCAGTTCAAGGGGTAAAGTAGGGATTTTAAGTAAAAATAAAGAGAATCTGATAAATTCAAGTTGCTTCCAATATCTTAGCTTTTTTAAAAATAAAATAATAACAAATGAAAATAATAAAATTATAACACACAAGTAATCGCATGTAAGATTATGTGTATTTTCCTATGTACATTTTTGAACATTTTATACAAATTTCATTTCAACCCTTGAATGCATAAGTCAGTGCTTTGGCCCACTTATGTCTTACGGAAGAGTGAGTTGGACACATAAGGGGAAAATTCAAAGCACATTGAACGCAGTGGGAATGGGCACTTAAGAATTGTGTGACAAAGTCACAAATAACTTGATCTGCTAGGGGTTGCACAAACTGTAATAATTTTAAATATGGTTTTAAGGGGTTTTTAACTTGTTTTACTATTTTGTGATTTGTATTATTGATTGTTGTTGTAAGCCGCCCTGAGTCCTTCGGGAGAATGGCAGCATATAAATCGCAAAAATAAATAAATAAATAATAAATAAATAAATAAAGTCAAAAGATATCAAGACTCAAATGAAACTTTGAAGACTTAAATGAAAGTGGATTGAGTATAAAAAGAAGTGAGCAGCAGGAAAATGTTTGGAAGTGTTTTGAATATACAGAGAAAATGAATGAGCACTAAATCACAAAAGACATGAAAGAAGGAGATGGAGAGGAAAGGAAAGAGCAAGGAAATTGAAGCTGAGACTCTAGAAAGAGTGCAGAGAAGAGCAACAAAGAGAATTAGGGGACTGGAGGATAAAGCATATGAAGAACGGTTGCAGGAACTGGGTATGTCTAGGTTGATGAAAAGAAGGACTAGGGGAGACATGATAGCAATATTCCAATATCTCAGGGGTTGCCACAAAGAAGAGGGAGTCAAGCTATTCTCCAAAGCACCCGAAGGCAGGAGAAGAAACTATGGATGGAAAGTTATCAAGGTGAGAAGCAACCTAGAATCAAGGAGAAATGTCCTGACAACGAGAACAATTAACCAGTGGAACAACTTGCCTCCAGAAGTTGTGATTACTGGAAGTTTTTAAGAAGAGATTGGACAACCATTTGTCTGAAATGGTACAGGGTCATGATGGCGAACCTATGGCACACATGCCAGACATGGCACACAGAGCCCTCTCTGTGGGCACACGTGCAGTTGCCCCAGCCCAGCTCCAATCGCATTTTTCCATCTCGTTTCACTCAATCAATTCCAATTTCTGGAGAAAGAAAAAGAACTTGCAAAGTTTGAATTGATTGAGTGAACTTTTTCACTTGCATACTTCACAATGGGGGAGATGGGATCCTGTCCTCCTCCTGAAGCACAATGTGACCCTGCATCGGCTCGGCAAAAAGCCCCTGTTTCTTTTCCCGCAGAGCTGCTGGTGTTGGGATGCCCCGCCTCCTCGCTGGCCAGCTGGGATTTTTCAGGCACTTAGCTTGGACACCTATGAGCTCCACCTCACCCTCCGCCTCAGAGAGTGAGGCGCAAAAGTTTGGCCGGGCTCCTTGAGAGACGGAGTTTTCAGGGAGCCGATCTAGCACCCAGGCTGGCTACAACGCAAACATTCATTCTCGGCTTTGAGATTCCTAGCTGCCATGGGCAGCGAAGCTAGTTCGTCCCCCTATGCCGATCTGGCAGACAAAACAGGAAAGGGGGGGTGGAGAGAAACTGTCCCGTTGCCAAGGTATTCGTGGGTCGGAGGGGGACAGGAATTCCAACCTCAGCCTCCTGGGGCGGGGCGGGGCTTTGGGCAAAGGCTGGAGGGAAGCACCACTGGCTCACTGGCACTCTCTCAGCTCTCAGCTTGACTCAGGCAGCAGTGCAGCTCACATTGCCCTTTCCAAGCCCGCTGTCAGGGAAGCTCGGCAGTGGCGAGGGCTGGCTTTTTGTCTAGCTTTGTCCGGCTGTCGGGGGGAAATGGACAGGGGCCTGGGGAGGGTGAGCCAGACCCAGATGCCTCCTGGGTCCCCTCGTCCCAGAAGAAGCAACCTTACCCTCTCCCCTCTCTGCTAGGCCCCTTCTTCACACGGGGTCGCCCAGCAGCGGGAATGAAGAGAGAGAAGGGGGAAGTGGCGGCCGCTAGCATGGAGGGGAGAGTGCCACACGGAAGTGGGAAGCGTCTGGGTGCTCCCTTTTCAGCACTCAGTGCCAAAAAGGTTCGCCATCCCTGCTTTATAAATTTTATACTGATGGTACCACTTTATACTGCACTATTGAGGCCACACTTGGAATACTGCATTCAGTTCTGGTTGCCACAATACAAGAAAGATGCTGAGATTCTAGAAAGAGTTCAGAGAAGAGCAGTAAAGATGACAGGAGTCCTGGAGGTTAAACTATATAAGGGAACTAAGTATGTCAAGTCTAATGCAGAGAAGAACTAGGGGTGATATGATTGCAATCTTCCAGTACTTGGGAGGCTGTCCCAGAGGAGATGGGGGCTAGCTTATCCTTCAAAGCAGATGAGGGAAGGACAAGAAGTAATGGCTGGGAGATCATTAAAGAGAGATCTAATCTAGAAGAAGATTTTTTTTTTTTTGACAGTGAGAACAATTAATCATTGGAATAGCTTGCCTGCTGGAGTTGTGGGTGCTCCATCATGGGAGGCTTTCAAGAAAAGATTGAAGGGCCGTTTGTCTGGCATGGTATAAGAACTTCTTCCCTGGCCAGGAGGTTTGATTAGGAGACTTCTGAGATCCCTTCCAACCCTATGAGCCTATGCTAGGATATAAGGAACAGAAAGGAGTTTTGAACGGGTTGATATTAAGCTCTCCAACCTCATTCTCTGCTTATACCAAAAAATGAACGAATATAATGAGTACATCCTAATATATGTCTCTCAGCCATCTTCTATAAGCCATTGTGTTGTTCCCTACACTTTTATTTTATTTAGTAAATATATATGCTGCCCATCATTCCCTCAAGCAACATTAGGCAACTTGCAACAAGCTAGAAATGGGAATATAAAATATTAAAAAATAAAACCATAAATATTTCCATTAGAATTAACAAAGATAGCTAAGGACGGAGCAATAGATAGTGGGGCAGAGGTAGACTATTCTATTAATCCACTGACCATGGAGTGTCCCACTTGGTAGAGTCAGATTTTAAGGCTCTCGTGGAAGGCCAACAGGAAGTTTTTATTTCCCCTTGAAGATATACCTTTCAAAATGCATGACTTTTGTGTGTTGGCTGAGAGCTGCACAGCGAAGTATATATTTCAGCTCTCCTGCAGTGCTGACTCTGCTATAACTTCTCCAAAGTACAATTCATCATAACGTTGGATAAAAATTCCAAGGGAATGAATTTCTCATCAGTAACAGTCAGAAATATCTACCTGTGGAGTAGAAGAGAAATTAACCGGAATAGAAATCTTGAGAAATTGATGGTACTGAGCTTTGTCTTTGAAATGCTAATCTGTGCAGAAGCATCAAGGAAAATTCTATTGTTTTCCTTATATAAGTATATTTTTACACTTCAACAATGAAAATAAAAACATTGTATGCAAATATATTCCTATGTTCATTTATACTTGACACGCATTTTATTCCCCACCAAATCTAATTGGTTGCCCTCTGATGGCCTGTCTTGTCTTAATATTTGAAGCAGAGTCCTTCTGAACCTCATCATCATTTCCATCTCAATGTATAATAAGATTTATAATGTTATACTATTTATATGCAGGTGAGAATAGCTGCAAATATAAACAACAAATGACATTTAAGATATGCAGAACATGTTCGTCAATATTCAAAGGAAATTTTTCTTTTTTAGTTTATGAAACTGAATATTGTATGTTGTTTTAAAAGGTAAATCTCTAGACCTTGGAAACATTATTCAGAAAATTAAATCGGAACTGATTATATAACTTTTCATCTCCTTTTTCAAGCATGTAGAAAGAGTTGGAAAAACAAAGGCAAAGCTACTATATATTATTACTCTTTTGAATCTAATTTCCTAATCAAAGTTAAGCAGCTTAAGCAGAATGCTTGGGAAACCGAATGAAGATTTAAATCACTTTGTTCTATCTGCTGCTAATATTTCATCTTGACTTACAAATGCAAGTTTAAGTTGCTTGTTGAACTTGCAAAGAAGCCAAGCACTGTTTTGATTTCATTCTTTGGTCTTGCTTAAATAGAGGGAGGGAGAACATGGTTTAATTGTTTCTGTAAAAGGAATAATTACATGGAGCAGATCCTCCTTTAAAACAGTTAAATGTGCACTATTCAGAATATTTATCCAGATTAATCTCCAAATTCCTCAGAATATTTGCATATACATTAAACATTTGGCCAATATTTGGCTTTATATCTGAACATCTGGCATGTCCCATTTGCGTGCTTTCTGATACATATCTGGAATGTAATTATAACATTTATTTCCGTATCTTAGGGACATGGTGGTTCAGTGGCTAAGATGTTGAGCTTGTTGATCAGAAGGTCGGCAGTTCAGTGGTTCGAATCCCTAGTGCCGCGTAATGGAATGAGCTCCCGTGACTTGTCCCAGCTTCTGCTAACCTAGCAGTTCGAAAGCATGTAAAAAATGCAAGTAGAAAAATAGGGACCCCCTTTGGTGGGAAGGGAACAGCACATCTCATGATTTATGTTGATTGCCTTTATTTAGTGTCCTATTACAATTTATGTTGTTTGCTTGTTTAGTATCCTATGACTATCACTGTATCTTATGATTTATGATGATTGTATTTTATGATTATGATCACTATTTATCCCTCATTGCTTGTATGTACACTGAGAGCTTTTGCACCAGAGATAAATTCTTTGTGTGTCCAATCACACTTGGCCAATAAAGAATTCTAAAATAAATAAATAAAAATGTTTTCTTGGCAACAATATGGAAGTGATTCACAGCGAGATCTACTCTTCCTTGTTGGTACCACTGGCAAATGCCCTCCTGCAATCGATAATTTTTTATTGCAACTAATGGCACGGGTGGAACCAGCCAAAGAAAAAAGCATCTCAATTATGCACCGCCATACTGAACATTGTCACTTTGACTGGACACAGCTGTGTGAGCTTGCCAAAATGCTACTGCAGGGTGGATATCACATGCACACGTGTTGGAAGATTGGAAATGTTGTGATAGGGATGAAGGATATGAACTAATCTACCATGGTGTGTCCAACCACAACGCTGTGGTTATCGTAGTAGGTGCTGATCTGCCATGTTACCGAGGTCCAGCACACCATAACTACCTCATATTAACTATCATTGATCCTGCTGCCTATTGATTATCCATTTTTGGCTTATGATCCCATAACTGGATGTGACAAAGATGAGAAAGAACAACTTTGAATGAAACTACAAGATTGTGTAGTTACATGTCCCCAACAAGACTTGCTTCTTTTCTGCAGCAACCTAAAAACAGTCATGACAGACATGTCCTGGAGGGCTACAATTGTCATAGTAATAATGGCTATAGTTCATGAAATGATGGTGGATACCAAGTCCAGGAATTTTCCAAAACCAATGACCTCATCGTCATCACCAACATAAACCTATGTCAGCCAAGCTACATATGCCGGCAGCAACCACAACAGCCAGATTGATTTTGTCCTCATGTGACGATGTGACTTCCCCACTTTCATGGATATAAAGATGGTTCCATCCACTCGCCTCGGCCAGCAAGATAAGATGCTCATTGCCGATATAAACATCAGCAAACACGCAAACAGGAGCCACGGCAAAAGGAGCGGGAGAAAATCAAGCTACAAGATCACAAGGAACACAAACACAAAAATGTGTTTGGGCTGTTTTCAGGAAGTTGAGTCATGGCAAATGGATTTTTTTAGCTTTAAACATTTTACTGCTTATCCAAGTAGCTTCTTCAGGCTGTCCCGAAGGTGCTTTTCCAAGAGGCAATTGGACTTTCTTTGAAGACGTTTTGCTTCAGAGAAAAATCCAGAAAGTCCAGTTGCCTCTTGGAAAAGCACCTTTGGGACAACCAGGACCTGGATGGCTGAGAATCTCCATGAACTTCTTCAGTCTGGTTAGGGGGATCTCATACATGTTCTCCAGGTAATTTCATTTCTCACTTAATCTGCTCCTTAGGTGACTGGCAGAGAGTCATTAAGAGTAGTTGCTCCTAAATCCTTCTCTCAGGTGGGTCATAAAAAAGAAAAGAAGTCCAGTTGCCTCAACTTCCAGACAACAACTGAGAATCTTCATTGTAATTTGGGCTATTTTGTTTTCTTAGGAAGATTTAGTGATTTTTCAAAGAACCCAAATGGCAATTTAGGGGGGTAATCAAGTAGAACATTCAGTTTTATAGAACTAAACAACTCATCGCAGCCCATAGTAGAGTTCTGCTTTTTTAAAAAATCAGCATAAATAAATATGGGTGGACAGTATGAAGCTTCTTTAGTCCAAGTCAGCATTCTTGAAGGTTTGCTTAACACAACTCTTCTCCTTTCCTGAAATAATTCTTGTAACAACCACATCTTTCAGCTGGTGCTGCATGCTTGTTATACAAATAATAGTGCAAAGCAGCAGCTAATGGTGGAATGTTAAGCCTGCTATCTGAGATATTTCAGCTTGTCTCAAGGTGTTAAATGAGAACGGTTCTTAAAATATGTCACTTGAAGTTATTTCAGATCTCACTTAACTTCATATTAGCTATATTGGCGCAATTGTTCTGTGCATCGTTAGTTCCTCCCTTTGACATAAACACAAACTAACAGCCAAATCTCTTCCAGTAAAATCTCTATTAAACCCTTTTATTTTTTTGCTGATTCTTGACACTTGCATTGTTTTCCATTTCAGACCTTTAAAAAATATTTGCTTTGGAAATCATGCATGGGTTTCAAGTAGTTAACAGGCAATGTGCTAGTTCACATGGGCCACAATTCATGACATATGAATCTATGATGTTGGTTTAAAGAGCCTAAATAAGCCAGAAAGATTAATTGGCTGAATACCCCAGAGTTTGGTGTTGGCTTAAAAAATTTGATTTGTTTGATTATACTCAACCACTATCTTGGCCTTGAATGAGATAAGAGTAAAATTTCTTACAGTTTAGAAAGTTTGGTGGCTTTGGGAAGTCTATATGTCCATGTGAACTTCTCATTCAGATCTTTGCTTATTAAACTATAAACCCTGGTTAACATAGCTTAGCATTTTATAAGTACAGGCCCTTGATTAGCTCATCTTCCATAACTTCCATGGTCATATGGAGGGAAGTAAGCAATGGGGTGCCACAAGGTTCCGTCTTAGGCCCAGGACTCTTCAATATCTTCATAAACGACTTAGATGAGGGAATAGAAGGAGAACTCACCAAATTTGCAGATGATACTAAGCTGGCAGGAATAGCTAACATCTCAAAAATAGGCTCAAGTTCCAGATGGAGCTTGACAGACTTGAACACTGGGCCTTATCTAACAAAATGAAATTCAATGCAGAGAAAAGTAAACTTAGGTAAGAAAAACCAAAAGCACATATATAAACTGGGGGAAACCAGGCTTAATAGCAGTGACTGTGAAAAGGATTTTGGAGTCCTAGTGGACAACCAGCTAAATATGAGCTAACAGTGTGCAGCGGCAGCCAAAAAAAGCCAATGCAATCCTAAATTGCATTAACAGAGAGATACAATCAAAATCAAGTGAGGTACTAATACCACTCTATAAAGCCTTAGTAAGACCACACCTAGAGTACTGCATCCAGTTTTGATCACCACACTATAAAAGGTAGGTAAATTGAGGACACAGTTTGTGGGGGCAATAAGCCGACTTTGTATAAAATATACAAAAGTATGAAGGCTATTGCTTAGCACATTGTAAGCCGCCCTGAGTCTCTGGAGAAGGGTGGCATATAAATCAAATTTAAAAAAAAGATGTTGAGACTCTAGAAAAAGTGCAAAAAAGAGCAACCAGGATGATGAGGGGACTGGAGGCTAAAACATATGAAGAACAGTTACAGGAACTGGGCATGGCTAGTCTAGTGAAGAGAAGGACCAGGGGAGACATGAGAGCAGTCTTCCAATATTTGAGGGGCTGCCACAGAGAGGAGGGGGTCAAGCTATTTTCCAAAGCACCTGAAGGCCAGACAAGGAATAATGGATGGAAACTGAACAAGGAGAGATTTAACCTGGAAAGGAGGAGAAATTTCCTGACAGTGAGAACAATCAACCCATGGAACAGAAGTTGCCTTCAGAAGTTGTGGGAGCTTCATCACTTGAGACTTTCAAGAAGAGATTGGACTGCCATTTGTCAGAAATGGTGTAGGGTCTCCTGTTTGGGCAGGGGGTCAGATTAGATGACCTACAAGGTCCCTTCCAACTCTGTGAATCTGTAATCCGTAATATCTTCCCTAATCAAGAAAAGAT